CCTGGAGTCAGGGAGGAGAAGATTCCTGGCAGAGGGTGGAGTAGGGTGGGGGTAGAGGGAGGTTTGCTGTTACCTAATGAGAGGGGTAGGGATGAGGACAGATAGCAGATGTCAGATGGCTTCTGTCCCAGGTGAGGGCTTGGTTGCAGAAATGATCCAATGTGGCTGGTGTTTTCTAAGGGTCTTGGAGTGAGGAAATCACACTTACTGAGCAGCTGTTCAGACATGAAACTGCTCACTCCTTAAATATTTAATAAAATGGGTATTTTCCCATGGTACACAATTTAAAAAGTACAAGAGTAAACAGACTTCTAATTGGCAATATAGCATGCTGGATGTTCTCCATCTCCTCGCTGGTACTGAACTGAACATGATATATAGAATTTTTTTTTTTTTGAGACGGAGTTTCGCTCTTGTTACCCAGGCTGGAGTGCAATGGCGCGATCTCGGCTCACCGCAACCTCCGCCTCCCGGGTTCAGGCAATTCTCCTGCCTCGGCCTCCCGAGTAGCTGGGATTACAGGCACGCGCCACCATGCCCAGCTAATTTTTTGTATTTTTAGTAGAGATGGGGTTTCATCATGTTGACCAGGATGGTCTCGATCTCTTGACCTCGTGATCCACCCACCTCAGCCTCCCAAAGTGCTGGGATTACAGGCTTGAGCCACCGCGCCCGGCCCTTTTTTTTTTTTTTTTTTTTTTTTTTTAACTAATGACTGGGTTGGTGGGAAATGAAGAGATGACTGGGCCAAGATTTTCCTGGCTTGGTGAAAGAGAACAATCTTGAGATCTGGGAAAGCTGTGGCAGCCATGGAGGTGCATGTCTTAATCTTTTTTGAGAAATAACTGGCCGTTCAGCTGTAAGGAGCGTAGACTGTTGACATTCCAGACCATTGCCTTCTGCATCTGCCTCAGCCATTGAGCTAAGGCCATACACTGCTTGGGTGGACTCTACCCAGTGACTTTGCACTCCTTTAATAGGCAGACTGCTCCAGGGTTCCCCAATGAATTGTTTGAGACTGTCCACTCTACATCATGGTCTGAGGCTCTCCTGATACCGTTCTGCTTCCTACACTTGTCTTTCACAGGTGTTAACCTTTGATAGACCTCTTACACTCCTCACTTAGTCTCCAAATCTGTTTGCTGGAGGAATGCAAGTGACACAGAGCTCTCAACAACTTCCAAGTAAGTTTTAAACATGCACCCTGGGGTATATACACATCACTGTAGAAAATAAAGACAGAATCCAGCAATCTTACAATCTTTAGCCAGAGAAGAAAAACAGGTGCCCTGAGAAGGAAGACAGATTGACAGCTGATATCTCAACAACAACAATGAAAGCGGGAAAAATGAAAATTGATGAGAAAACAGGAAGTACAGAATTCAATACCCCTGTAAATATTTTTCACTTTGTGTGTCAGTTGTTAGTCAATTATTTTTCCTTGCAGAAAAAAACCCTTCGTGTCACCCTAGCTCTTAAGAAAATGAAACTTAAGAAGAAGGAAAATGATGTCACAAAGAAATGCTGAGCACAGACGGGGGGGGGGGGGTGTTTTGAATCTGAACATGCCCATTGCATGAAACTGCTCTTTGTTTTGGTAGCCAGCAGCCATCAGTGGCTATTTAAAGTAAATTAAATTGGCCAGGCACAGTGGTTCACACCTGTAATCCCAATACTGTGGGAAGTCAAGGGAGGCAGATCAACTTGAAACCAGGAGTTTGAGACCAGCCTGGCCAACATGGTGAAACCTATCTCCACTAAAAATACAAAAATCAGTTGGATATGGTGGTAGCTGCCTGTAATCACAGCTACTTGGGAGACTGAGGTAGGGAATCACGAACCTGGGAAGCAGAGGTTGCAGTGAGCCAAGATCGCATCACTGCATTCCAGCCAGGGCAAGAAAGCAAAACACCGTCTCAAAATAAATAAAAATCAATTTATTTATCAATTAATAAATTGATTTAATTAAATTAAGTATTCTCTTCCTGGGTTGTATTAGCCACATTTCAAGTGCTCAGTAGCCCTAGTGACTAACATATTGGATAGCACAGATACAGAAAATTTATATATTGAAGAAAGTTATTGGTCAGTGCTGGTATAAAACAATGTTTTGTAATTTGCATGCTTAAAAATCAAACTATATCCAGAATATTGGACAATATGATGTGTAAGTTATAGAAGTGGCTGGAATTGAATTATTCTCAGGTTTTTTATTTGTAAGGAGTAAAAAATAGAATTTAAATTAAATGCATATTCTAAGATAACCACCAAAAGATAGAAACAGTAAAAACTAAAAGGGAAAAACATGGAATAAAGTAGGAAGATCTCAATCCAGCAGGAGGACAGTGAGAAAGAAAGAATAACCTAGGACCTAAGTGAGGTGAATGGAATATTCAAACTTTGATGGAAGAATTAAATCCAAATCTATGGGCAAGCAACATGAATGCAAATTCATTAAACTTACATGAATTTTCATGGTATGTGAATAATAAAGCTGTAAATAAAAGTGTTTTGACTCTCCAAAGAGACGAAGATTGTAATGTACCCAAAAAACTATAAAAATGAACCACCTTGAGATTATAAAATCTTTCTGCATCTTCCAAATAAGTTATAAACTCCGTAAGCTCCAGTATCATCTGTAGCAGGAGTGGCGGGGAACAAACCTCTTGAACACTGAACTGAGGAAGGAAGTGGCTTTTTTATTTGGCTGGGAGCTGCAGGGGACTTCAGCCTCATACACTGAGCTCCCTGAGCTGCAGCTTCTCCCCTTTTATAAGCTTACAGTGCTAAAAGGGAAACTGAGGTGGAACTATGTCACTATCCATTTGCTGGATATCCAACCTTACAATCCTTTGGCTTCATTGATTTGCTAATTCATATGCAATGCAAGCAGGGACCAGCAAGGGAGGGGGCGTACAGAGACATGACAAAGGCAACAAGCTGTTGGTTCGCAGAGGTGCTTCCAGGAGGGAGCCTGGTCTGTAGAGATGTGGGATCTGTAGAGATGTGGGGTCATGAACCAGTGTCAGCCTCCAGCTGGTGGAGATAGCCTTCATTTGCAGCTCTTTCAAGGTTAACAGATAGCAGAGACACTGGGAACTAAAGAGGGAGTCATTTTCCCAGCTCTTTGGTATTTTATTTTATTTTATTTTCCTTCTTCACTCTTCTTCCCATATGGAAGTGGGGGGAAGAGGTGAAATTGAAGGAGGTGAGGGGGTCTCCCCTCTCACATCCACCTTCAGCTGGATGATTAGATGTCAGTTGAGAGATTCCCTCCATACAAAAAGGTGTTGCTCTTTTCTGGTTACTGCTGCACTAGAAGCCACAGGCAGCAGTCTCTGGTGGCACCCTGTACCAGGCAGTGCAGGAAGTCTTGCACGAGAACCAGCATAAGTGCCACAAGTTTTTGAAGATGGTAGAATTGCAGATCTGCTTGAAGAACTATGACCACCAGAAGGACAAATGGTTCTCAGGCTTAAGTCCACTCCTACCCCAAGTTCTTCCTATGTGCCCTGGGAGACCAGCAGCACTGTGATGAGGCCAAGGCCATGAATATCCCCAACATGGACATGGGAGACAATGAAAAAAACTCAACAAGAATAAGAAACTGGTCAAGAAGCTGGCCGAGAAGTATGATGCATTTTTGGCCTCAGAATCTCTGATCAAGCAGAGTCCATGAGTCCTCGGCCCAGGCCTACATAAGGCAGGAGAATGCTTTTCACTGCTTACACACAATAAAAACATGGTGGCCAAAGGGCGTGAGGCAAAGTCTGCAATCAAGTTCCAAATGAAAAAGGTGTGTCTGGTGGTGACTTTGGGCATGTGAAGATGACAGATAACAAGCTTGTGTAAAATATTCACCTGGTTGTCAACTTCCTGGTGTCATTGCTCAAGAAAAACTGGCAGAATGTCTGGGCCTTATATGTCAGAAGCACCATGGGCAAGCCCCAGTGCCAATATTAAAGCACGTTCAAATAAACTCTACTGCTACCAGAAAAAAAAATCTTTATCAAATCTGTTTAATCTTTATACTGTTACATTATGAGGCTTTGACCCCTGGGTACACCTGTCTTATCTAAAAGGAGGCACTTGACTTTCATTGAATCTTAAATGTCAACCCTGGTATCTGGCACTAAATTCAAGTTAACTAAAGCCTCATCTTCAGACCTGGGTGAAGATGACAGTCAAAATAAACTTCTTTCATACAACACTGGGCCAGTTAAATCATAACTACTGATGTAATCATTTTTCCTTCATTTAAATTAATATACTTATTTTTGCCTTAATCCTAGATAATTTAAATTGTCTAGATACCTGTGAGTTTCCTTTTCCTGTTACTGTCAGAGCTAGGCAACGCTTAGGTCCTTTTTGTTTAAAACATTGCTAATTTTATACATTGCTTACAAAATTGGGTAGAACAACAGAGATTACCCTTCTCCTCTCTACCTGATATCTGTGAAATTTAAAAACCATTTAGAATATGCTGGGTCTGTCCCACAGACCCTGGCTGACTGACAGATGAAATGAGTACTCAGATATAGGTATGCAGTGTAGCAGCAGCTAGGGAATGACCTGGTTCTAGTGGCCAAAGTGCAGTCCTGAGAAGCTGGAACTGCTTGCTTTTATTCAGTGCAGGCACAATGCCAAAAACCTGGAGCTAACACAACTTGTAGATAATTAACATTTATTGTTGCCCTTTCAGGAAACATCATGCAGGAACATCCAGATGATCAAAGGTCAGCTACTGGTCAAAATAAGTAAACAAGCCTGTTTAAAATACCTAATGTTCTCACTCATAGGCGGGTGTTGAACAATGAGAACACATGGACACAGGGAGGGGAGCACTACACACTGGGGTCTGTTGGGGGTAATAGGGGAGGGACAGCAGGGGATGGGAGTTGGGGAGAGATAGCATGGGGAGAAATGCCAGATGTAGGTGAAGGGGAGGAAGGCAGCGAATCACACTGCCACGTGTGTACCTATGCAACTATCTTGCGTGTTCTTCACATGTACCCCAAAATCTAAAATGCACTAAAAAAATAAAAATAAAAAAAATAAATTCCCCCACTCTCCCTTGTACCTACTCCTTGCCCTCTGTCTCAGGGTTATAGAAGAGCTGCCTGCAGCTATTCTGCCCCTGGACTCTGCAGAACCTTCCGACTTTTCAGAAGGTTTGTGTCCTTTCCCTATAGTTTTTCCCATCTCTCTGACCTATCCTCCAAAAGAATCCACTGAGCCTGATCTATTTTCATTGCTAATGTTCCACTGCTAAAACTGTGTAAGCACCTTCCCTCTAGGTCTGGGCACTATCACAGAAGAGGTGGGCATGTGAGAATGTAAGGGCCGAGTTTGAGGGGTAAAAGTTAACTTATTGATGCTATTTCTTAGAGAAAGAAAAAGAAATTAGATCCTCCAAATGAACGACAGGCACACAGATGCCTAAACAGCTGGCAAAATAAGGGACTTTGCTTTCTGGGTCATTGCATGTCCCCTTTCTAGCTATCCCAACCATAGGAATTTCCTGCTTCTCACAAAATTGAAAGAAAATTACTAAGAGTATATCAAGATAACTGGTTACAAAGCCTCCTGGGTATAATGCCCCCAGTTATGAGATTTATGCAGATATATACAATTTTTTTAATCAGCCACCTTAGAACAAATTACTAAAAAGGCAGCAAAAAAACACTGTGGCACAACAGAAATCTTAAAACTTAAATGGTTTTAACAGAATGCTTATGTTTTGTATAGCTAGTTGCTGGAAGTATGTAACAAAACCATGACAGTAGCTGAATGCATAGAGTTGATAGACAAGTCAACTTTGTTACCTTGTCTTTTGCCTTTTGGTTCTTTACTGTTATGTTACAACTCTCAGCATAATTCTGTAATTCTTTGCATTAGCTACACCAAAGTAGCCATTTCCTGAACCCCATTTTTTCTTGTCTCTGTGTCTGAGTGCAGTGACTCATATAGCCTCAACACATTGTATTGCATGTTCATTTAACAAAAATGTATTATCTCTATATACTTTTATCAAGCAGATGCTAGATATATGGTTAGCATCCCATAAGTGCTGATAGACTGAATGCATTCACAACCTAAACAGAGATTAAGTGAGGCAAACAAATAAATAACATACCATGACAGACTCTGAAATGGCCATGCATACTGGCCATAATTGGAACACAAATGAAGAAACCATTATTTGTGTCTGGGTGACCTGAAGGTTTCACAGAAAAGGAGCATTTTAACAGAGATATAAAAATGAATTCAAATTTGTTTATGCTTCTTTATGCCTATGCTGCCTTTCTTGGGGCATGGAAAGCACAAATTAGGATCAAGAATGAGCCTGAGCTGGGGTGATCACAGAGAGAGATAGAGGAGTTTCAGGCCAGAGGTGACCTCCGGGGCGGTGATGGGAATAAAAATGTAAAAGTAGGTTAGGACCAGAATTGATTACCCTTTTCAGATACCTTAGCCTGTAGAAATCCTAAGAGCTCAAATGTCACCCCTTATGATGCATTCTCAGAAGTGTCAGAATTAATCCGGTTTTCTCTTTGCCAGGAGACAAAAATTAAATGTGCATTACAACAAGCTGTAAAAGAAACATGTTTCGAGGTCAACGTTGGTTGTTTTCATATCAGTTTCCTCCCTGAAGGAGAAGTCAAGGCTGTGTCTGTCTCATTTCTCACAGTGCCTAACTGAGGAGCTTGGCATATGTTTTCTGGGTGTTGAACAAATGCAGGGATTGGCTTTTCATTGCAAGGGAGTGATACTCAGTCGGAGTTGTTTTGCTGCTCCTCAGACTTACCAGCTCGTTCCCTTCCTGTCCATCCGTTTTCATTCATGTCCCTGTTTCCTAGAAGCTTACAGTTCCTGTGCCAGAGACTGAAGCAGAGCAATCCTAATGGCTCAATTTCACCTTTTTCCTGACTTGCCCAGTGTTTGTTTATGCTGCAATCTGCAGTCTTCAGCCTGCCAGCCTGCCACACTGGTTGTCTGCCATTTGACTGAACCCTCTGTTCCTGCCCTTTGAAATTTTGAGTTCACCATAATTAGCAGGCACCCTGGCAGCTGCTCCTCCCATGGAAGGTCAGCACTCTCAGATGAAGCTGACTTTGTTCACCACCTTGGGGCTGGGCTGCTGGAGGCTGGTCACCACAGAACCAGGGACAGCCCTCATTGGCTGTTGTTTCCTAGTCTTTGCTTTTCCCCTCCCTCGGGGCTGGCCAGCCACACTCCGCATGGTGGCATGGCCTGGAGTACCAGGTCAGTTTGTTTAATCTTTAACTTGTTTATAGACAGAATCTAATATGGTTTTGCTCTGTGTCCCCACCCAAATCTCATCCCGAATTGTAATACCCATAATTCCCACTTGCTGACGGAGGGAGAGCAGTGGGAGATGATTGAATCATCAAGTGGTTCCTTCACACTGTTCTCATTATACTGAGTTCTCATGAGATCTGATGGTTTTTATAAATGTTTGGCAGTTCCTCCTTCACTTTCTGTCTTTACTGCCATCATGTGAAAAAGGTACTTGCTTTTCCTTTGCCTTCTGCCATGTTTGTAAGTTCTCTGAGGCCTCCCCAGCCATGCTTAACTGTGAGTCAAACAAACCTTTTTCCTTTATAAATTACCCAATTCTGGGTATTTCTTTATAGCAGTGTGAAAACTGACTAATACTGAATCCCTTTCTTGGGGATGGACTAGATGGGGTGAAAAGGCAGAAAGAGTGACAAAGTTCCTACCCATTAGTAATGAGTGTGTGACTTGAGGATGCTTGGGTGTAAAGGGCTCTTTCTTAATTTGCAAAATGAGGGTGTTGGCAGCAAGTATGTTTACAGTTACTTCCCACCTCATATTTTTTATGATTCTATGAATAGAACAAAGGAAGATGTACTGGCGAAACAATGAGGTAATTCACTGTTAGGTTCTTCTATTAAAAGGTTGAATTCAGGCAAGCCATTGCTTTATAACTGGTGCCTTTCAAACCCATTGTTATTTCTGGTTCCCTTCCCCAAATTAATTTCTACCTACTTCCCCTGATACCCACCCCCCCATCATTAAAGGCATATGCCCAATTCTTCCTTGGTCTGCAGGGCTGACTAGCTGGGTGGGAGCAAAAGGAGCCAGGGAATGGGACAGGGAGGTTGAATCTTTCTCCCAGGGCCAGTGCCTTTCACGTCCATTTCCATCTTACTCTAGGCAGCTACCACCAATTCAGGTGCCTGCTTGATGTGGGTATGGAGTGGGGTAAAGTTGACCATAGTAGCATACCTATATCCAGGTTCCCTTCCAACAATAAAGGCATGTATTTATACCTCATGCCATCATTCAGTAGTACGTTTTGAACACTACTTGTTTTAGGCACTATGCTAACAGAATGGAGCTATTCATTCATTTATCCAACAAATATTTACTTCATGCCTCATGGATAAATGAAAAATGAGGCAGAGTCCCTGCCTACTGTGAACCTAGTTTAAACCTCCAGGAGAAGGAGGGAAGCTCCCTTCATGCCCAGATCTCTATTCATTCTTGAGTCATATATGTGGATCTGCATATCTTTACTGAACCTCCTTGAAGACTGCCTGTGCTCATCAGAAGTCTTTTGACCCCAGAAGTTTCTCACAGCGATTTTTCCACACACACACAAAAAATTGTCTTTAGGCATTTGATCATCTCTCCAAGTTTTCATGCTTAAGAGAGATTTCGGCGTCTGGCTCCCACTCTCACAGCCATTGCAGTACATTGAGCTCCATAGAGACAGCGCCAGGGCAAGTGAGAGCCAGACGGGCACTGGGCGACTCTGTGCCTCGTTGAGGAAAAATAACTAAACATGGGCAAAGGAGATCCTAAGATTTTGCCAAGAGGCAAAATGTCATCATATGCATTTCTTGTGCAAACTTGTCAGGAGGAGCATAAGAAGCAGCAGCCAGATGCTTCAGAGTTTTCTAAGACGTGCTCAGAGAGGTGGAAGACCATGTCTGCTAAAGAGAAAGGAAAATTTGAAGATATGGCAAAGGCGGATAAGGCCCATTATGAGAGGGAAATGAAAACCTATATTCCTCCTAAAGGGGAGACAAAAAAGAAGTTCAAGGATCGCAATGCACCCAAGAGGCCTCCTTCGGCCTTTTTCCTGTTCTGCTCTGAGTATCGCCCAAAAATCAAAGGAGAACACCCTGGCCTGTCCATTGGTGATGTTGCAAAGAAACTGGGAGAGATGTGGAGTAACACTGCTGCAGATGACAAGCAGCCTTATGAAAAGAAGGCTGCGAAGCTTAAGGAAAAATGTGAAAAGGATATTGCTGCATATCGAGCTAAAGGAAAGCCTGATGCAGCCAAAAAGGGAGTTGTCAAGGCTGAAAAAAGCAAGAAAAAGAAGGAAGATGAGGAAGATGAAGAGGATGAGGAAGAAGAGGAAGATGAAGAAGATGATGATGATGAATAAGTTGGTTCTAGCGCAGTTTTGTTTTCTTCTCTATAAAGCATTGAACCCCCCTGTACACAACTCACTCCTTTTAAAGAAAAAAGTTGAAATGTAAGGGTGTGTAAGATTTGTTTTTAAACTGTACAGTGTCTTTTTTTGTATAGTTAACACACTACCGAATGTGTCTTTACCACCTGTCCTGGTGGTATTTTCAATAGCCACTAACCTTGGCTGGTACAGTATGGGGGTTGTAATTTGGCATGGAAATTTAAAGCAGGTTCTTCTTGGTGCACAGCACAAATTAGTTATATATGGGGATGGTAGTTTTTTCATTTTCAGTTGTCTCTGATGCAGCTTATACAAAATAATTGTTCTGTTAACTGAATACCACTCTGTAATTGCAAAATAAAAAAAGTTGCAGCTGTTTTGTTGACATTCTGAATGCTTCTAAGTAAATACAATTTTTTTTATTAGTAAAAACAAAAGAGAGAGAGATTTCAAAACCTCTCTCTCTTCATAGTCTGGCCACTAATCTTCTCTGACGAAGATCATACCACAGTATTGGTTTAGTTTGTATGTTATTTGTCAGAGAAGATGACTAAACTGCTGGAAAATAATGAGATAAAGTAAAGGAGTCAGATCGTTTGTTAAGAAAAAAGAGAACAGGAAGTGCATACTTAATAGCCTGTTCAAGGATTCCTATCTTCCACCCCTTTAATGAAGCTCTGTAGAGTGTTGATTCATTTAAAATCATATTCAAGATCTATGAGAATGTGTTGCATAACAACTCCCCCAAATCAGTGGCCTGATAGAGTGAAAATTTAGTAATCATGATTAAATTGTAACTATTGCAATTCTGTAAATACCTAGTGGGAAAAAGAAAGAAACTAAGAATTATTGACAGAGAAAGCAGCTGGATGTTATGTCACCAAAACAGCATTTGAACTCACTATTCCTTAAATTCCTGAAAAATAGGATAGATTCCTATTAAGAAGTTCACCTTCTTGCTGTTAAAATGAAGTAATAGGTTGTCCAATTTGGTGGCATATGGTTTTCCATAGTCATCTCTTATGACCTTTTTATCTCTATGCTATCAATTGTAATATCATTTCTTCCATTTCTGATTTTGAGCCTTCTTTCTTTAGCTAAAATTTTGTCAGTTTGTTTTGCTTTTCAAAAAACTCAACTTTTATTTTGGATGATATTTTCTGTAGTTTTTCTACTTTCTATTTCCTTTACATATTCCCTGATATTTGTGATTTCTTCTGCTAACTTTAGTCATAGGTTGTTCTTTTTTTAGTTCTGTGAGATGTTACATCAGTTTTTTCATTTCATTTGACAACTTTTCTTCTATTTTTTATGTAGGTGTAATGCTATAAACTTCCCTTTGAGAGCTGCTTTTGTCTCCAGGTATTCTTTCATTTCCCCTTTAAATTTCTTCATTGACCCAATCATTGTTTAGGAGCATATTTTTAATTTCCACATATTTGTTATTTTCAATGAAACTTCCTGTTAATTGATTTCTATTTTTATTCCAGTATAGTCAGAAAAGATAATTGATATGATTTTGGTCTTCTTAAATTTGCTAAAACTTGTTTTGTGGCCTAACATATGAACTATGCTGGAGAATGTTCTGTGTTAATTTGAGAAGAGTCCGTTTGTGTTGGCTGGAATGTGCTGTGTATGTCTGGTGGGTCCATTTGTTCTAGAATATCACATTAAGTCTGATATAATTTGGATGTTTGTCCCCCTAAATTTACTGTTGAATTGTAACCTCCAACTTTGGAGGATGGGACACTACTGGATCATGGGAGTGGATTGCTCATTAATGTTTTAGCACCATCCCCTTAGTGCCGTCATTGCAATAGTGAGTTCTCACAAGATCTAGTTGTTTAAAAGTGTGTCACACTTTCCCCAATTTCTCCCTTGCTCCTCTTGTGGCCATGTGATGTGTCTGGTCCCAGTTCACCTTCTAGCATGAATAAAGGTTCTCTGAGGCCTCCCCAGAAGCCAAGCAAATCCCGGTGCCATGCTTGTGTAGACTGAACAACTGTGAGCCAATTAAACCTCTTTTGTTTATGAATCACCCAGTGTAAGGTATTGTTTTATAACAATGCAAGAACAGCCTAACACAAAGTCTGATGTTTCTTTCCTGATTTTCCATCTCGGTATCTCTCCATTGCTGAAAATGGGATATTGAAGTTGCTCACTATTACTGTATTGCAGTCTCTCTCTCCCTTCAAATCTGTTAATATTTGCTCCATATATTTAGGTGCTCTGATCTTGAGTACATATAGATTTTCAATTAATATGTTCACTTACGAAATTGACCCCTTTATTATTATGTAATTTTTTTTTTTGGTCGCTTTAAAGATTCTAACCTGCTAACTCACTTTTATGTCAAAATTCTATGTTTAATAATTCTTGGTGCACAAAGAGCAGAGAGTGGCACTGATGACATACTCCCAAAATTTCATAATATTTTTGCTCTTAACTATAAGTTATTGAATCTTCTGATTTTGTTTTATATTTCTGAACATAAATGGATAATAAAGGTATATACAACTAAAAAACAAAAACAAAACAAAAAAACCTTCTTTATTTCTGCAAAGTCACAAAGAAAGGAGTAAAACCACTCTCTTTCCTGAATGTTCCTGAAGAAGGGCTCTATGAGAGTATTGGCTCCAAAGTGAAGTTTTTTTGTTTAATATATTTGTTTTAAAATCTGTTTACCAGGACTTCTGGTTTCTACTCCAACAAGTAACGTTTGGGGTTATCCCTTCCATCTTCTTATCAAGGAGAAAACAATAAACTGAAATAAGCAACCTTCTGAAATCCATCATAGAATTGAGGTCACAGGAAACCTGCTGCCCTGAAAAGAAGACTGACAGGTAAATATACAGAGAATCACAGTTTATCCTCAATCTTAGGGACTAAAGCTCAGGATTAGAAGGCCCAGTTGAAGCTATTATTTTTAGGAACATGTAACTCAACTCATGAAAACCTGGGGCTCAGTGTAGATAAGCTTGAGAATTTAAAACTCTTGGGGGCTCAGTCTCAGGGATCTTTATGGTTTTGTGTTTTACCTCCAGGAACCCCACCAAGTTCTCACTGTGAAAACTGGAAAATAGTCTCTTCATGCTTCTGGCAGAGGGAGGATGAAAATAACCACGGTAATGTAAGACCAAAGTAGCCTGCTCCTACCCTCTTCTTCAAGGGAAATTACTTTGCAAGAGCCTAACTAATGTGAGGTAAGAAAAAACATTCAGTCTATTCAACTCCATCCTCCTCTAGCTTTCCTGCTTCACTTAAGTGGGGAAAAGCTGAGAAGCACTTTCGAAGGTCACAGCCCAGGACACAGGCTCAGTTGAAGAGAGTGACCCAATCATAGCACTATAGAATGCTCTTTCCCCACACCTTACAACCACATCAACAGGACTACTGTATATAATAGAGAATTACAATTGGAAAATTGAAAGTTCCAGAATCTATTTAAGAATGAGTTCCTAGAGAAACCTGAAAACACAAGGGATGATACAAAAATAGTAAGGGAAATTGAAGCCCCAGACACCTGTGGGTACAAGAAATAGTAAGCACAGCATAATTCCTAGCCAGATAAACGTCACCATCACACTAAAGGCCAACTTTTATCAGTACATGTAACCCAAGAACTTAAAATAGCAATGATTAATATGCTCAGGTCTCTAGTGGAAAAGTAGACAACATGCAAAATAGATGAGTAATGCATCTAGGTTAAAGCTTAAAGAAGAAAGCAAAAGTCAATGTTAGAAATAAAAAAAAAACACTGTAATAGAAATCAAGAATGCTTTGGATGGACTCACCATCATATTAGACATGGACAAGGAAAGTTTCAGTGACATTGAAGATATGTCAACAGAAAGTCCCCAAACTGAAATTTAGAGAGAGAAAAAACCAGAGTATGCATGAACTGTGGGGTGGTTTTAAAAGATGAGTATATATGTGTGTGTGTGTGTGTGTGTGTGTGTGTGTGTGTCCACACATATGTTGTAGGACTTTTCCTTAGTTCAGCTAAAGACCCAGTTCTCTCTCCACAAGGCTAGAGTCCCTGCTAGAGTGCTTCCTGCTTCGCAGTTTAAATCCCAGGTTCCAGTCAGGAAGAGGAGGGGCCAGGCTCCTCCCCACTGCAAAAGGCTCCACATTTGAGGCTCCACTCCAATGCACAGCCTGGTTGGACTTTTTCTGGGAACCCCTTTGCCCTCAGCTGTCTCACATATATATGTGTGTATGCATATATATATATATATATATATATATGTATATATATGATGGGGATGCCAGGAGGAGAAGAACGAATGGATCAGAATAAATATTTGAAATAATAATAGATAATTTATTTTCAAAAATTAAAACAACCTCAGATCTAGCAGTCTCAGAGAACAGCAAACAGGATAAGTATGTAATAATTTACACAGAGGAATATTATATTAAGTCTTCCGAAATTCGGTGACAAAGAGAAAATAGTTTTATATTTTTGTTTTTTTTGTAGAGATGAGAGCTTGTTATATTGACCAGGCTGGTCTGAAACTCCTAGCCTCAAGCAGTTCTCTCACCTTAGCCTCTCAAAGTTCTAGGATTATAGGCATGAACAACCATGCCTGAGCAAAGAGAAAATCTTCAAAATAGAAGAATAATTGAGATATTCATTACCTCAAACATGAATCATTTCTTGTGTTTGGGAGCATACAAAGTCTCCTTTGTAGCTATTGTGAAATACACTACAAATGCTTGTTAACAGTAGTCATTCTGTTATGCCGTTGAACACCAGAACTTACTTCTTCTATTTTAGCTTCACTTTTGTACCCATTAGCTGACTTCTCCTTATCCCTCCATCCTTCCTACCCTTCCCAGCCTCTGGTGGCCACCATTCTGTTCACTACCTTTATTAGATTAATCTTTCAGTTCACACATATGAATGAGAATATGCAATATTTGTCATTCTGTGCCTGGTTTATTTCACTTAGCATAATGTCATTCAATTCCATTCACACTGCTGCAAATGACAGGATTTAATTCTTTATGGCTGAAAAATGTTCAAATGTGTGTGTGTGTGTGTGTGTGTGTGTGTGTGTGTAATATTTTCTTCATTAATCTGTGGATGGATACTTAGGTTGATTTCATCTCTTGACTATTATGAATAGTGATGCAATAAACAAGGTGGTGCAGATGCCTTTTCCATGTACTGATTTCAGCTTGGTATGGACACTCATGCCTATTATCCTAGCATTTTGGAAGACCAAGGTGGGAGGATTACTTGAGCTCAGCAGCTCAAGACCAGCCCAGGCAGCATAGTGAGACCCTGACTACTTAAAGTCTGGGAAAGATGTATTTGTCTTTCATTTACGAAGCTCAGTTTTGCAGGATGTAAAATTCTTGGCTGGCATTTTTTTTCTTTAAAGAGGCTAAAAATAGCCCCTAATCTTTTATAGTTTATATGATTTCCTCTAAGAAATCTGCCATTAGTCTGATGGGATTTCCTTTATTGGTGATTTGAACCTTCTCTCTAGCTGACTTTAAGATTTCTTTTCTTTAGCATTGGCTTTCAGTAGTCAAATGACTATATGCCTTGGCAATGTTCATCTTTTATAGTATCTTGCAGGGATTCTCTGAATTTCTTATATCTAGATGTCTACCTCTCTAGCAAGATCAGAGAAATTTTCATGAATTATTCCCTCAAATATGCTTTCCAAATTTCTTACTTTTTCTTCTCTCTCAGGCATGACTATAAATCAGGCTTGGCCATATTACATATTCCTATGTTTTTTGAAGGCTTTGTTTTTTAAGTTTTGAATATTTTTAACTTCTTTTTTTTTTTGACTGACTAG